AAATAAATAAATAAATAAATAAATAAATAAATAAATAAATAAATAAATAAATAAATAAATAATATTTCGGTTTTATAGGCATTATGCACACTCCAGTGCTGCAACTGGGCTTTTTTATCAATTTGTCTTACCAAGCGTTGACGTCATCTCGGTGGAGATTTCGTAGTACACTTTGGCCGGACTGATAGCCGTCATAGCGTAGCCACCATCCGACCATGGGCTGGCTCGGTTCCCGCTGAACAGGCGGACGAACACCTGATAACCGTTTCCGGAGGGAAGGTTCTCAAAGTGGACAATTGTGCGCTTGCTCTGATGAATCTGAATAAGGTAAGGAAAGAAGCGTGATTGGTCCCAGAGCCAAAAATGTAGCTAAAACTCAGTATCTACCCGTCCAACTTGCTGCAGATGAGGATATGTGGGGGAGGGATTGATGGAATACTTTCAGATGGGTATAAGATATTGGCGCTTTGGGATAACGAAAATAAGGCCTTCAGAGACATGCTTAGCATTGTTATGACAGCATTCTTGTCATACAATCATTTCAATAAAGACTAGCAAATAGTTAGTAGATGCTACAGAGCTAATAAAATTCACGGAAGGAATAACAGTTGACTGCATCTTAAGTTAACTAAAGGGAACGAGAAGACAGCTTATTCTAGAAAATACTTAGCTGGCTCTTATTTGGCACCATAAATGTTTAGATTCTGTTAAAATTGAGCAAATCTATGAGTTATGTTCACCCTATTTCGTTTAAGCTGATGAAGGAATGGTAGATGAATTTACTGGTGGTCACGGAAATCTATTCAAAAGGAAATTTAAGCTTGAATAAATTCCCTAACGTGGGCAAGAAAATACGATTCTTTATAGCAAACTATTATTCACTTATTATTAGCATATACACTGATGCAATTATGTTGCCTTCCCCCTCCCTATCATTGCAAGGAGGTGAAATTCTGGAGACCATGAGAGAATAGATAATCTTGGCTTCGATATACAATATTTTTCGCATTTAATTATTGTTTTGATGACTACCAGTAAATCAGTAGTATGAGATGTATTCACCCAATTTCGTTTGAGATGATGAAGGACTGGTAGAAG